TGTATGTTTACCATTAGTCATACTATGACCCTATAATAGATGCTCAAAAATAGCCACAAAAAACTTGAAACCCTAAAAGTTGAGTCACTGAATTATTCTTAATGTTATCTTTTAAGCTTCTGTAGCTGTTGTACTAGTCACAGTTACAAATTTCTTGAGTATCATCTATATTTACTTCCAAGATATTACACAGCATTCAAGTAACAAATAAATTTTATTTTATTAACGTGTTCAGGAAAATTTTAGTTGGAATTCGTCAAATCATTAACCGTTTGACTTTGTATCAATAGTGGTGCTAGTGGACAGTAGTGTGGCAAAATATTTAAGACACAAAGTCAGTCGATATAGGGCAAAGTCAGTATTTTCTTTTAATGATTTGTGGGAATGAACTTCATTAAGCCTCATACATAAAAAAGAGACATTTATTTCTTTTCAATATACTTTTTATAACTATAACTATGAAGGCACTTTTTAATGCTCAAGTTCTATGGGAATAATGATTAGCAATATCTGTTTCATCATATTCAGGCACATGTTATATGATGGTGAAAGGATGATCATTTAAAAAACTGTAGTTATAAACTAGACTTGTTCACCTTGCTTGCATTATGAATCACTTCCATTTCACAGATGTGAAAGAGGAATTAATAAGTGGTGAACTGGGATTATCAATTCCGAATCTAGGCTGCAACTGTGTAAATAATATACACTTAAATGTCAAAACCTAATAGGTAAGTTTCTTTTTCTTTAGCTAATTAAATATATTGGCATATATTTAGAAAATACTTAAAACCAAAAAATTTCATTGCAAGTGAATTTTTAGAGGCTACATACACAGACCAATTAATACAGCCTTACATTAAATCTGTTACTTGGATATTAGGTTTCCACTAAGGTAAAGCAAACCTACTATTTATAACATAAAGAAAATAACTACAGAAATTGGAGAACAATAACAGTTTTGTACTGATGACATTTTCTTCCCATAGTTTCCATCCTGCTCTCTTATGTACTTTATCCCTCTATGGTACTTACCACAGTTTGAATTTTCCTTTCAAATTATCTTTGAAAGAAAGGCAAATTGAATTTTATATGCAAGATGTCCCCATGAAAATCGGTCTCAGTTTAATTAATGAACGTGGGTTCAAATTACCACTCATTTGCGAAAGATATAAAATCAGTATGCGAATGTAGGAAAAATTTATATCAATTTTGACATGGGGAAGCCAAACTTATGTGCTCAAGAATATACAATGGATCTTCCATGTGAATAAGATATAAAGAGAGAAACCCTTGTGAATCACCTAGTTGCATTTAACCATTTCATACAGCACATGATGCACTCATGACTATAATTTTTATGAGAAGCACATAATTGTGAGCAGGTTATATTGAACCTGAATAGATAAATAACTACAGGTTTATATAAAAATTCACATCATAAACTGTGAATCAAATTTAAATAAAAATATGTCCCATGTTAAGGAAAATAAAGTTTCTCTGAAGATCAAGTTATATCCAACAATATTAGTAGAAAATAGGATTTGTAGCTTTAATCTCACAGGAATTACATACTCATTTATTTATTTTGGCTTATGTTGGCTGGGTTGGGACTTTGTCTTTTTAATTGATACAGTGGTAAAAACATGTAATACATTTAAATAAAATCATGAAAAGATAGAACTTGCTTTTCATTTAGAAGTAAATGCAAAAAATTAATGTTATTTTTGTATAGTGATGTCTGTTAAATAACCTAATGAATGGAAGAAACATATAACTGTCATCTGATTGTAATTCTAGTAATCTAGGAAACATAGACCCTAACTCATTTCACAGCCAGTGACAATGTTTTATTTTTTAATAATAAAAAATAAAATGTTCATTGTGTCCTCAAAAACTACATTTTTTCTTTTTCTGCAAAATGACCTATTAAATTAAAAAGTAAATTAATTTGATGTTGTTTACTCAAATATAAGAAAATCTACAGATTATTTGACCAAAACTGATTTAACAAAAATATTATATTCTAACTAAATCTAAAAAATAACCACTTGGTTGTTTTGAGGACTTTTCTGTTTAAGTTGGAATGACTATGGAATAATGTAGCCTAATTACAAGCACTTTGGTAGAACAAGAGAAATTATGAATGTTTAGTTTACCCATGAACTTCACAATTTGATTCAGCAAACATTTTAAATAGCTGTGCACTACTTGCCAATGTTAAATGCATTCTCTAAAATTCTGATTATATCAAGAACCCAGATGTACTCCAAGCAACTTTCTGAGTGGAGTCCATTAAAACCATTGCAATGACACAGCTCATGTTTAAGGAATAAGGGTGACTCAATCCTAAACAAAGACTAGGTTAGGAACAAAGTTGAACACTTCAAATAATGCTGTTTGAATACATTTGTCTTCTGAAAAGTTGACTCCATCATCATTACACAGCTAAAAAACAATTACATTTTCAACATTCAAAATTATACATAAACTATAAGTTTTGTTTAGCGAATAGCTATTTCAGTTCTTTAAATATGATTATGTTAACATTCCTAGAAAGCTCAAAAAGAATCCTCAGCAATCATCAGCAAAATTTAGACATACAATAAAATTGATAACAAATTATTGTTATACTGAGTCCAAATATGATCTAAGTCAGAGATGTAAAATAATGTCCTTAACTAAAGTTCAGTTAGTTTTGTATTTATGAAATAATGCTCCAGATCAGTATAAAGCATATGAAGTAATCTTTTTGTTATAATATCATGTTAAATTTTTGATCGAAATGCATTTATTATACATAAAAATAATAGCACAATACATGCAGGTGAATGTAAATGTTCTTATAAACGTTCTAGTCTGTTGATCCCATTTAAACCTTATTATAAAGGATCTCCAGTAAAAAAAAAAAAAATTCATAGACCTTGGCTATTCAGTTAAAATAATTTTTGAAAATGCAGGATGAGTTCTAATTATTTGTATTTTTCTGTTTTTCTGGATTCCTTCAAAGTGAATGAATAGTTTTACATATACTAATATTCTTCATTTTGAAATTTAAAATAATACTTTGGTGCATACTAAGATATATTAGAAAAAAATTCATGTAGCAATAAACAAAGTCACATTTCTTGAAAATAGACCGATTTATGTAAAACATATTTCAGTTCCCATTAATTATGTAATTCATCAATACTATGTTTTATATGTTTAGAGACTGATTTTCTGACGTTGCAGGGAAACATCTAGAAAAAATAAATTATATTTATGGCTAAAAGCATGCATTGATACTCTGACATTAATTTTAAAAAGCAAATTTATTATATAATAACAGGAATGTAAATACTTATTTCAAATTTCCAGTTACTTATTCAAATAGTCATAATAATTTTTTGTCCTACTAATCCTTAAAGCACATGGTTCAGTGTTTTTCAGTCATATTTTGATAATTTAGATTGTAAAACCATGCTGTTAATACAGCTTAGAACACAATTAAATTTTGGAAAAGAATTATGCATCTGGGGATAGCAATTAAATACAAATTAGAAAACTTTAAGGAGTTCATCATTATATAATACAATACGAATATAATGTCTCCCTTTAAGAAAGTCTGACTTAAAATGATTCTGGTTTAATTTTTGTTACTAACTCATGAGATTGGGCCACTTAATGCATTGTTTCCGCCTTTTTTCTCAAAGTATCTAATGACTACACAATCATATTCCCAAAACACTTCCCATGTGTCAAGGAACTAAGTAGTAGAATGCAAGGTCGACAAGAGATAGAAACCAGACGTAACACTTTTAAAGAATCACAAGGGTAAAGAATGAATGCACAATTTCCACTAGACTGTGGGAAAACCGAGAGGAGATCAAACAAGGAGTTACGGTCTGTTGTTGGCGTGCCAGACCGCGAGTGACAAAGCACAGGATGCTTTCCGCCGCACGGCTGGCAGAACTTAATCTAAGTGAGAACATACATTCTTTAACAGTTATGCCAGTCTGCATGATTTGAGGCCAAATCTGAGTGTAACTTTCTCTAGCAACAAATTGGGGATGTCCCTAAACCCGACCACTTAATAGTTGCTAGTTCTTTAAACTGTCCAGGACAGCCCAGACTGTTGAAACCAGCATTAGCTGATGTTTCATCCCAACATTTCAGTGAGTTTGATCCTGAAACTTCTTTTTGAAATACATTAATTCCACTAACATATGCATTTGAAAAGTTCTGCTATCCTTTTTCATCTGCAATCATACCCTCCCCCAAAAGCTCACTGAGCGGGGTACCTGTCAAGTTGAAGTAGTAAATTCTCTCAGTTAAAGGGTGTTAGAAATGCAGGATTAATACAGAAACCTCTACATCTCATAACTCTAGGTGTGTTGTCTGCTTTCTTTACAGTCCACCCCACGATCTAAATACAACCAAAACAGAACAGGTTTCCCCAAAGAGATAAACACATCTGGCAACAACCAACAATGAAAATTCCATGAGTTCAATAGAGATAGAAATGTAAATAGAAGTGAAAGGCAAATACAATTAGTCCGAATCTTTTCACTCTGCATTGTTTCAACCTCAACCACGGAGTTCACTGAGTCTCACAGATCCCGTAGAAACAGAATACTGATTGTATGGAAAGTTGAAAGACTCCTTTTGGGGGAGAAGTGTTTTTCCAGCTGTCAAGCTGCAAGCTCAGGTAACAGTAACGCTCATGTTAAAAGGCACTGTTTCATGATTAAGGTATCTGTTCATGCTACTTCATCCAAATAGATTCTTATTACTTGGTAAATCGTTTTCTAGAATATCGCTGTAAATAATGATGCGAAGGAGGACTGGATTTTGCATGCACTTTGCGGTAATATACTGTAGTTTCTCCACACGTGAGATAAGCATGACTGCTACAACAGCATTTCAATGCTACTTACTCAATTCTTGGTAGAAACCCTGTCAAACAACATGAAAATACTACTCACAACAAATCTATTTATTTCAAAGGAAGCGCTTACCTAGCACAGCTCGAGAGGAAGCTCTTGGTGAGATAGTCACAGGGTGAATTTGATTTTCTGTGGTTTTGCAGCAGAGATTTAGAGCCAGGCAAGGTGGGGAGGAGGGAAAGCTTACAGTGGGATCCTGCAGGCGGCAGAGCTCGATGGTCCTAAGGCGGGAGGTGACACTGCTGGACAGAGGAGTTGTTCTGAGCGGATTGGAAGTGTTGTCAGATTGTAAATGATCAGCAGAGAAGGGAAACATCAGAGCTTCCTGTTACATCACTCTGACCCCGCCTGCAGTTAGTGTTAGGTTACTTTCTTTCTCAAATAGCATACATACCCCAGGAGAGGATCAGAGGGCCTTTCTCATTCTGAGACCAGAGCAAGAGGCAGCCTGAACAGACAGAGCTCATGTGCTGCCTGAACACATTGTTAGCAGCCAGAGCTGGCTGACTTTCACCTTGACTGAGGCCTGTTGGAACTTGCCAAATCAAGCTGCCTGTGACTTGAAGGAAATCTGAATGTAAAAGAATCAAAGGCGTGTGTGTGTGTGTGTGTGTGTGTGTGTGTGTGTGTGTGCGCACACGCCTGTACACACATGTGCTGAATTAGTGATTACCAGCATCTAGGAAAAAATTACCTAATGTGTCTTTCTTCATAAATGAGCATGTGAAAAAGCTACATTCGTCAAAATTAGTTACGTGATCTGACTCATTGATTTGGAGTTCTGGCAAGCAGATTTTATTCTTCAGTTTTCCACAATTAGATCAAGAAACGCGCGCACACGCCTGTACACACATGTGCTGAATTAGTGATTACCAGCATCTAGGAAAAAATTACCTAATGTGTCTTTCTTCATAAATGAGCATGTGAAAAAGCTACATTCGTCAAAATTAGTTACGTGATCTGACTCATTGATTTGGAGTTCTGGCAAGCAGATTTTATTCTTCAGTTTTCCACAATTAGATCAAGAAACTTTATCCTGCAGTCTTTAAATCTTTTTTTTTAAAATCTGCTCATGACCTAACTGTATGTATATTTTCAAAGTTTTGACAGGATTAATATTTTTGATTCATTCATTCATTGGTAGTAGCAAACTCTAGTAAATAAAAACTTCATGCTTTGGGCTTATATCATAAAATTCTGTCCGAAACTTTCTCCTCCACAATATTTCAAGCGCTATTCCAAATAGGAAGACTAATATATACAGCTGTATTTATACTTAAGCTACAGCATAGGCATGTAGGCCCAGGGTTGTAGTCCCTTAAGATTCTTGAATAATTTGTATCAATGTCATCTCTGTAAGTCGTTTAGAAGTAAAGGGAGAAATACATCTCCAGGATCAGATCGTTGCTAGCGGACATTTTATAAATTTCAGAAGAAATAAATGGTCTGAGGACTTCCAGGGAGCTGATCTGAGCAGGTCAAATGACATAGGGCCCAGTGAAAAGTTAAATGAGGGAAACGTCTCAAACACATACTTAAATATGACAAAAAATGTTTGGATAACTGTAGCTGAGCTTAGAATGTTTCAATAACCAGTGAAGTGATTCTGAGTCAGTGTGGCATTAATTACGCGTTACATAGGACATATGTAGGAAGTGTGGTCAAAAGTTATTAGTGTAAATACTAATCGCCATTAATCCCCTTCAGGATACCCGCTTCACTCCAAACACACTCCTTCATCCTCACCACCTTCCTAAGCCCATCTGGAATCCTTTTCACGAGTCTTTGGTTGCCCCCTCCTGGCTGCCTGAATGTCCTGAATCAACTGAAAATGTTTATGTTTCATGGCCATTGTGACTTTGTGAATGAACCGTAAGTCACATGGTCAGTTGTGGTGAATAAAGAGGGTGAGCACATCGTACTGTATTTACCAGCCTGGCTTTCCATTGAATGGGCAGCTGCCTTCACCATATCTGCGATCACATCTCATAAGAGACTTCAGGAGGAGGACTTCCAGAACTGCTTGGGGAAGTGGCAAGAGCCACGGGATATGTGTGTTTGAAGTGAGAAGGAGTGCAAAGAGGGGGAATAATGGCAACTTGTTTTTTATTGCATTGTATTTTATCACAGCCTGCGTTCAGGCATTACAATCCCAATGCAGAGCACACGGAAGCCATTTGCAGTAATTTAAAAAATAGTGGTCAAGCATGTATTCTAAGCTCACCATCAGTTGTGTTTGAGGGAGCTATGGAAAAACAATCCAGGCCATGGTATTTGGAAAACCAAAGTGCAGTTCACTGACTACCTCATGAGGAGTCAAGTGCTAAATTCTCCACAATTAGCAGCTGGTGCTGCCAGCACAGTCTAGATGTAACCCAGGGAAGCACCGACAACAGAGCTTTCCTTAGAAGTAAAGAATATGCACAAACGAAGAATGATGTCTATGATCAGCATTCATCTTTGTGTATTTCAGACTTCTACATTGACTTCCACCTCTTCTGGGGGCCTGTGTGTACGGGACTCCAGTAGGGAGCGCAGGTTACAATGTGAAACGTGCTTTTCTGCACAGTCCAGAGGGTACTGACTCAATCTCTGGATATCTGTTTATACTAATTAAGTTAATTCAGACCAAACTTGTGGCTTGATAAATGTAATTTCTATTGACTGAAACTGACTACTTTTTTTTTGGATTTGTGTGGATACAGCCTTAGAGCACACTTCTACCACACACACACACACACACACACACATACACACACACACACACAAGCAATCAAAGCAAGGCAAAATAACAAAACACTTTTACAGGAAGCATATGTACTATGGGCATATAGCAATTGCTGTTAGTACATTTTTAGCTTGTTTCTCAAGGTAAATACAAACAAAATTTGTTTGTTAAAAGAATGTGTATCCAATGGCTGTGTCATCAGGTATGAATGTGCTATTGGCTAGTTCTAAAACAAAAGGGCTGGCTTTAAGGTAATAGTGACCGTACATTATCATTTTAAGGGAAATAGTAGCATTGACTTAAAAATATTTACTATGAGAAAGAATTTGAAAATTACAGAAAGCTACATTTGAAACGAGTAGTCAATATAGGTGGTCCATATGTTGAACACAACAATTAAATTACTCTCCATGCAGTATTTCTTTTAGTATTTTGTAATGGGTTTTCTTCAGGAGAGTCAAATGACATAAAGAATTCACCAAATATTTGCCTGTTTTTGCAATGGATTCCTGTTCAGTTTGCGATGATTCAGACATCGTTCAATAGTCATGATTTTTTGAAGGGTAGCTCTTCTTGGTCAACTAAAAACCCAGTACTGGCAAATAACATGTGGCAGGTTAATTAAAATTTTATTTTAAAACACAACAAAATAACGAATGCTTACTTTAAATGAGGGCACCAAGTGAAATTCTGAAGAGTAAACCCGTGCTGGTAGAGTAATCCTATCTGTCGGTTTCCTAGGGCAGTCCCGAATTACACTTCCATTCTCACAGGATTCCGGTTCCCATAAATGTCACGTGTAGTCGCCCTGGCACATGCGTCTGCAATGACAGGGAGCAAATGGATATTATGAGCGAACACCTTATTTTAGAAATCCCAGTTTTTCCCAGAAGAGTTTAAAACAATTCTTCCCATTGCTATGATAGTTTTTGTTCATATTAAAAAGATTGTCTTTCATTTCTGGATATGAATTTACTCTGAAATGATTCTTACTTTTAGAATGTCACCCTCGACTGTAAAAATAAAGGGCTGATTTAGATCTGCACTTAGTGTCTTATCCTGAATAACATTTGATTAAATGACCAAGTCGTATATTTTTCTTAAATAATTCAATCTTTAAATTCAGAAGATGCCTAGAAGTACTAATGTTTTCCAGTACCAACAGATAGCTTTCTAAGACTATTGTCAAAATGTTTATACAATGTTTCAAAGTTTTAGCAATTTGTATGTTTCTCAATTTCGAAAACTCATGCCTGTTATTTTTTTTTCTCTCATTGAGTTTATTGGTACATTTTAGGTATACACTACAGTTACATTCATCATTGGGATTTTGCACCTTTACACGACAGGTATTGGCTCTCATTTTCCTCCTTGTCACTCCTGTTATTTACCTTCACACAATTATATACAGTGAAAATTTTAAAATATAAACTAATGTGGGAATATACAGCCTGTGTATGATAATGATAAAAAGAAAAACTATATATTTGCTTCAGAACTCTTGAGAAATCCCCAGAGCTTTTTCTCAGCATTGAGTTGGGCAATTTATAGTCTCATCCTGCCATCTAGTGTTAAGTATTCTCAAATTAACAAAAGTTCCTTTTCAAAAGGAAGAAAAATGAAATTTTATCTCTTAAAAAAATCCCAATAACAACTAAAATATCGAAGAGAGCATTTTGATAGCTAGAGTTTTAATAGGCAGGTACTTGTGGTAGACTCTACAGTGAAAGTATCCGTTTATGTATGATGAAAGAATATTTGTTTCAGAAAGTATTAAGTGTAAAGGCAAATAACACTTAAATTTTAAAACATGACTCAAATTAAAGATAGACATCAAAATGGTATACCACCTTTAGTATTAGTATAAATATCCAGAGCTACACAATTCTGACCCCCACAATTAGACCAAAGTAGCTGAACTCCTCTACTTAGCTGATCCGGTGTACAAATCAGATATTCAGATAACCAATGCAGCGCAACAAGCTCCATTGGGATGGCGCTGGGGCCGGAGGGGCACTGGGCACTCTGTACCTCTCTGAGGAAAAACAGCTCAACAGGGGCAAAGGACAGCATAAGAAGCCAGCAGGTAAACGGTTATCAGGTGCAGAGATAGACTCGGGGGACCTGAGGATGCGGGGGCGTGACAAAGGTCAAGACGTAATATGGAAATGTACTGATTCCTCACAAGGAATAGATTCATGTGTATCCAAAAACCACATACTAATAAAAATTTTGTTGGCAGGCAGAAGCATAAAAAACACCATGTGACTCCAGTTGTCACAGTTTTCTAAGAGGCACTCGGAGAGATGGAGGACCATGTCTGTAAGTGAAGTCCTGGCCAAGTGGACGGACGTGGCTTACTTAAAAAAGAGAAATGAGAGCCTATGTCCTTCCTAAAGGGGAAACAAGAAAGACATGTAAGTATCCCATCGCACCCGGGAGACCTTCTTCAGCCTTCGTGTTCTGTTCTGAGCATCATCTAAAAACCCATGGAGAACATTCGCTTATTCTCGGCCATATCGCAAATAAAATGGGAGAGATGGAGAGGGACACTGACAAGAGCGCAGGAAAGGGAGTCTTGGAAGCCAAAGGAAAAAC